GAGTGGTTCGTGATCGCACAGCTTCGCACTGGATCAGGTCGACCTGGAGTGAGTGAGGTACACAGAAAGGGAGAGAGAGGCTTAGTTAATCAAAGATGAGGAACAAATAAAAAGACGGAAAACCGATGGAGAGCAACACACACACACACGTTAATTAGCGGCAAACCCACGCGGAACGGAGCAAGCCAGCAAACGGCGGTAGTCAGTCAGTGCGTCAGCAGGAGCCCCCCTCTCTCTTTTCTCACTGAGTTGTGTCTGACTCATCGAATTGTGTTGTCCGCTAATCAGACTTTGTTTGTTCGCCACTCCTGGATCGCTAATTTGCCCTCTGTGTCTGCGTCTGCTTTGTGCAGTCGGCAATTGAAGGCTACCACTAGCGTGCTCACACCGGAGAAAAAATATTCTTCTTTTTTCTACTTTCTTCTGCTGACTGGCGACTCTAATTGGCCTGCCAGACATTGTTTGGCCAATTGGCCCATAACAGCAATTGCATTTGTCGACAAACACGCTTTGCCACTTCAACTGCCTTTGTACTTTATTTGCATTGCAATGCCTCAAAACAGCCGACTGAGCAAGAAGAGTAGGAAAAAAGAAAAGAAAAGGGGACAACGTAACTGCAGCTTAGTTTAGCTATTCAATTTAATAATAGCACCTTCATGCCTGTTAGCGGTTAACTGTGAACACCGTTTTCTTTATTGTGTCTGTCTTTGTCTAACCTTTAGAGAGTATACTAACTTCAAGTTTGTAATCAAAGTTTGTATAACTTTTAGCCAGTTACATGTAAAAACTACTTATACTTTTATTTTGTTATTCAGTTTACAAACAAAACTCATTTCAACTCAAACCCTCGTGATCGCGAAAAAACTGTATAAACAGCTGAAATTGAAGAGTTCATTTTCTTAGCCTAGCAAATAAGTTCAAATGATAAAACTTTTAGTAGGTCAAACAGACAAGGCGACACATGTTAAACGAATGACAAGCTGATAAATAATTAATGAGACACACAAAGAAATATTTTAAAATTCTACTTTGAACTTTTGTTTATATTTCAGTAAAAAAAAGCTTGTTGAATGGTCACAATTTACCATTACAGTCAATGAAAAATGTTAANTTTTAGTAGGTCAAACAGACAAGGCGACACATGTTAAACGAATGACAAGCAGATAAATAATTAATGAGACACACAAAGAAATATTTTAAAATTCTACTTTGAACTTTTGTTTATATTTCAGTAAAAAGAAAGCTTGTTGAATGGTCACAATTTACCATTACAGTCAATGAAAAATGTTAATCAAAAGATGAATAAATTCTAGAAATGACCGAGTTGTGATTGACAGTAACATTAACATAAACTTATAAAAATAACTACTATAGCAAAAGTAGAACAAGCACAAGTTCCAAGCGAGGTTGAGACCAAGCTAAACNGTAACATTAACATAAACTTATAAAAATAACTACTAAAGCAAAAGTAGAACAAGCACAAGTTCCAAACGAGGTTGAGACCAAGCTAAATCAGCAACCTAATTGGCAAATTACTTTTGATATAAAAAAGAGCCATATATTTTATTATCAAGCCTTCATTTATCACTTGTTTTTCTATACTTTTTTTGTGCCAAACTTCCTTCATCTTTAGATTTGTAAGAAATCATTAGCTAAATGCTAGCGTTCTAGTCATGGCTATTTATTAAGTTGCATTAGGGAGACTTTGCTCAAGTACTGCGACGTCATCAAAAGGCAGATCGCCGAGTCCTGTACTTGTCAATTAATGGTGCAATGCAAATAGGAAAAAGAAAGAATGCACCGTGAATATGATGCATCTACGAGCTAGGCCACTAAATTATTTTCCCTTTTGCCAGCAGAAGTAGGCAAAAACCATAGTGGCAGTGGAAATGCATTGCAGTGAAGTGGTTAGAGGAAAGAAAGAAGGTCAATGCGGGAGGAAGGAAGGAAGGCAGTGCAGTGCTTACCTGCTGGGACGACGCTGTAGACGCATGCCTCCACCTGCTGGCCGATGCTGTTCTGCGCCACACAGGACAGCGTCCCGTAGTCCAGCGAACTCTCCGGCCGGTAGGTGGCAATGGAGGTGGTGGCGTTGTTGGTGAAGGAGGCCCACTCAGTGGACGTCTCACTGCCTGAGGCGTTCAATGTCCAGCGAAAGGTCAGACCGAGTGAGGGTTCGGCGTCGACTTCGCAGCGAATGCGAATCTGCTCATTGCGGGACACTCCGTATTGGGTCTTCTGTCCATCCACGCAAACGGGGGCAACTGTGGATGTGTGGGAAAGTGGAGAAAAAAAGACGGATTTATTGAGAGTGAAGGGACGAGGAAAAAGAGGAAGGAAAACAAGTGGAAGAGTTAAGATCGATCGGTCAAGTCAGTTAGCAGTAGTAAGTTAGAAGTGTATTTGGCAAGTAAAAGTAGCGTGCAAGAGACAAGACACAGTCTCAGTGAGTGTGTGTGAGAATACAGCGATTGGCTAATTAGATTTGCCTAGAATTAATTAACGCGACCCACATCGGGGAGATAGACGGCTGACGCTGTGTTTGATGGGGCTAAAGACAGGCCCCATTAGAGACAGCAACCATTGCAGACGTCTAACGTGATTAGAAGCATAGATAATTAGCGCAGATTAATCAAATTAAAAAACTGCACAAAAATGATCTTGCGTTTCAGACTGAAAAAAGACAAAAACGAAGAAGAAGAGGGAGAAGATGAGGACCATATGAACTAGCTGAAAATGAATTGCGCCAACATTGACTCTGCCGTGCATACATTAGTTTAAACTTTTCCCATAAATCAATTGAAGTAGTAGTCAACTGGCGAGCCCCTAATTAAGGCTCACCACTGTTGCCACAACAAGACTGGAGAATCGATCAAAGAACTGCACAAAAAGGGTTGAGGACTTGGCCGACTTGGCAAACTTACAGTTGACTTTGAGCATGAGCGCCTCTGACACCGTCTCGCCCTGGTCGTTGAAGGCGACACACTGGTAGCGGCCTCGGTGGCTGCGGTGGACCTTCTGAATGACCAGCGACTGGTTGGTCATGATGATGGTGCTGCGGCTGGCGTCGGCGGCGTTCACGTCACCGGTGAGTGAGCCGTGCAGCGGACGGCCTTCATGCAGCCAGACGACCTCCTTCACCGGCGGATTGGCACGTACGCGGCACTCCAGGTAGACGTCACTGCCCTCGCGAATCGAGTCACGACCAATGTTAGAACCAAATGATATTCGCAGTTGAGGGGCAACTGAAGGAAGGGGAAAGGGGAGGGGGAGAAACAAAACGTTCAGATTAGATAGATGCTCTCTTTATACAGCAAATTAATCTTTCAACTCCACTGCTGCTTTTGCGTTTTTGCTTGCGTTTTAGTCTTTTCTTTCTCACCAAAAACTCACCAAACCCAAAGAATCTATTTATTTTTCTGTATTTTGAATAAATAGGTTAGCGGTACTTTCACATATTTTAAAATTCAAACAGGCAATTTTTAACGTTGCAGCACTGTAGAGTTTTACTTTTTGGCAACATTTGAGATTGGCCTTAAATTTAAGATGACAGGAAATAAACAAAAGGAGCCAAACAAAAAAATGAAAGATGCACATATCTGAATTGAATGGAAAGGATTGCAGGCAGACACAGGCAGATGCACTCGACGCAGTCACGCTTTGCTTTACTTCAAGACATGTGTGTGTGCTCCTAATTCCTTGCTGTCAGTCAGTTTCGGTCTTGCCGGTCTCCATTTATTAATAATAAGCCCTTTCCTTTTCACTCGCACACACACAAACACACACACACATTCACCATTCACCCTTTCACTAAACTGTCAGTTAGTGTTCATTAAACTTGGCAAAGTTTAGATGTGCTTTTTGCTGCGACCTACACAGCACACACTTTTTGTTGCCTTCGTTTTTGTTGTACTAGTAGTTGCTACTTCTACCACCATACTGATACTACTATCTCTCTTGTAAGGTTCGTTTTCTCTTTTTTCTCGTCCGCGTTTCATACCGCTCATATGCCCTATTGTGTGATTAATTAATTTAATTAAAACGACTGCTGTGACTGCTTCACTTTAGCCTGCTGCCTCAGACGGCACAATACAGAGGCAATTTTGACCAAAAAGCAGTGTACTTTTGTTGCCATTTGGTGCGTTTTTGCACCAACGAAAAACCGCCAGAAAAGGGCCAATGACGAGGCTGGCAAAGTCTGAGAATGTAGACAAAACAGCTTATTACAAAAAAAATATTAAAATATAAACATAGAAAAAGCACAATTTAGTTTATAAAATAAGAAATCAACATTGAATACAAAAAGTGTGCACGCAGGACAGACAGGTTAAGCAAACATATGAGATGGGCCTACCTCAGTTGTTTGTCCCTATTTGACTTTTTCACATATCACTTTTCTCCATCCTTCTGCCATACTGTGTGAGCATTTCATTTGAATATTAAGGTTTTGTTTTTGCTACTGTGCATTATGTGCAGTGATATTAATAGTAGTTGATGTCTGCCTGCAAAGCGCGGTGGCAAATGCGGAGGTGTGCACCAGTGCCAGTGCCATTACTATTGTTTGCATCCACTAGTTCAAAACAGGGGCGCAAAACAATTCAGCATCACCGCAGTTTGCTCTAAATGATCTCGAGGGTGACGCTCAATAAATCGATTAATTTCTCTGCTGTGTTTGTGTACTTTTAAGTTATTATATTATTTTTACTTTTTTAGTCCCTGCATTGACTTCACAGCCTTAGCTACTGTGCACGTTTAGCACTCTAATTAGCACCATCAGTGGTGAAAACAGCAGTCATTGTGGCTGGAACAACATTGCCCTTTCTAATGATCATTTTTCACCTCCCCCTCAAAAACTTACAGTGCACATTGAGCAGTTTCTCGTCCTTCAGTGCCGTGTGCGGCATGGGCAGATTGTCTGCTCGGCAGGTCAGCATCTTGCCGTTGTCCTCGAGGTCAGGCACAAAGGTGATCGTCGAAATGGTGGCATTGCCGTCTTCATTCACACTGTCGCGCACGTTGCTGCTCAGCCGTTCTGGGCCTAGCCACCAGGAGATCTGCGCTGAAGGTCGAGAGCCGATGCTGCGACACTGAAACTCTGCTTTGCTACCAGCTGCTAACACAATTGCTGGCGATGAGTGGCCAGAAGAGGAAGAAACGGAGGAAAAGGAGGTCACTTTTGAAGAGGATATTGTTGGCGTCGATTTGGTGAGTATTTTCACGTCCAGTGGCCGCACTGCATGAGAGAAAAAGAGGAAAAATGTCAGAAAGGTAAGCAACATAAAGGCAATACGAGGTACACAATATTTCTTCATTAGACTTCAGTGGGCAAGGTAATGGGCAATGAAGCACGTCCTTGGCCGCAGTTCAGTGCAGCACATGTGCCTATGTTCTGCCTGTACGTGCCATTGCGTGCCCTTAATTGACCGCTCAGTCTATTCAAATGGACACTGAAAGAGGTGGAAAACCCTGCTGTAATGTAGTCAATGGTCAATATTGAATATACCATTGCGATAAACAAATGCTTTTCAATATCACAGGTGAAAATTAATGATGCAGCACAATATGGTTTGCGGTAATTTGCAGCCAAACATAAAATGGCTCATAAATTCTAATACAGGTTAGCGTAAATAAACCTTTTGCTTAGCAATTACTGCGTGACAGCTAAATGTAAGCAAAA